TAATGCCCTATAAATAAATAAATAAATATTTCCAACACTCACACCAATTAGCTTAGCCCCAAAGTAAGCACTGTAGGCTTGTGTTATGGGATACTAAGGTAGAAAGAATACATATACTGATACATATATAAGTTTATTTATATAGAAATACATATTCCACATCCATGACTGGAGTACAAATGCTCGTATTCATCATACAAACATCTGCCCCCACCGGGAATCGAACCCAGGTTAGGCGAATAGCCAACACCTTGAAACCAGACTATTTGAAATACAAATCACTCGGCCTCGGAGGTCGTCAATATTTACTTATTTACCTATGAGACTGTCAAATGCAGACATGCCGAAACATGCGTTGCATTTTAGCGGACGACTGAATTTCAGCCAAATTGGTCTAGTACCCATTGGACCCTCCTAATTGGACCTTACCTACAAAAAAGTGCCCGTTCGACCTCCTATCAAGAACACGGTGCACATTGGACCCTCAAAGACGTACTTACCGACACAATGAGACCTATTGGAGCTCTTAACTATAATTCGGTGACTGCGCGCATTGCATTTTTTTGCATTCAATGCATTTTGTAAGGGCCGGTCGGGACACACCTACGTGAAATTACGTGGCTGAAGTTTCGGCATAGCCTACTTATTGTTATAAATGTGATAGCAAGTTTGTATGTGACTCAATCACGCAAAAACTACTGAACGGATTTGGATGAATTTTGGTAAGCATGTAGTTTACGAGCTGGATTTAGACATAAGATATTTTTTACCCCGGAAATATTATAAGGTCTTGAGGGATTATCAAAAAAAATTAAGTAAACACGGGCGAAGTCACGGGCTAGTGCCTTTATATGACCATATTTAAAGAGAATTACGCTCAGACTTGTAGTGAAATTACGCTACGTCATTTCGGTCGCGTAAAAAACGACGCATAATTTTGTCTAGTGTGCCGAATATGCCGAAACTGAAAATTCATCCGCCGAACTTCGGCGATGTAATTTACGTATGTGTGTTCCGACACTTATTTGGATTGCGTTCCGATATACTTGTAAAAATACTTACCTATCGCAACGTCAAATAATTTATTATAGGAAAACTCTCAAGGATTTTGACGGTTTTCTTTCATTCCAACCGCTTTGCGATAACGAATGAAAGATCTACTGCGTGTGATGTTTGTGTCAGTTCTTGATTTTGATTTTAATGAATATCGTGATTTACTTTTTTTTTCATTATTCCCGAGTCTATGGATTTATTTACAGGCTCCCGGCTAGCGATTACGGAGCTCAACCGTTCAAAAAGTGTTTCATTGAGTAGATTTTGCTTTTGTGAAATTCACAATTGTTGAAAGATGTCTCGATCTCAAGTGAGGAGCTCGATGGCGCAGGTGGTTAGCGCGTTTGGTTGCGATCGTTGCAGTTAAGCAACTTTCGCAGTGGTCGGTCATTGGATGGGTGACCAAAAATCTTCTATCTTGAGTTTCTCCGTGCTTCGGATGGCACGTTAAGCCGTTGGTCCTGGCTGCATCTGCAGTCGTTAGCACCCGCCAAACCAATCATCATGGACCATTCTCCGTATTCCATTAATAGGAAAGGCCTGTGCCCCAGCAGTGGGGACATTAATAGGCTGATGATGATGATGATGATGAAGGTAAGATGTCAAATATTACACATCATATGCGACTACGGTAAGGCTCGCTCGTCTTTTTGCTGTATATTTACATGATATATTTATATTTCAAGTACATCCTGCCCCACTAGCATGACCACCGAAACGGGATATGATAAAGCGATATATCGTCATTAACTCACTATATGTATTCTATCCGTTACCCTAGTATCCCATAACACAAGCCTCACAGTGCCTACTTTGGGACTGGGCTAATTAGTGTAAGTGTTACAAAAAAAAATATTTATTTATTTATTTACTACTCCGACTACAAAATAAAAGCCAAGAAAAATTGAAAGCCTACTCAGTTATGATGGTTTTCCTTTAAATTGTTCTGTTTATACTACTACCGTATTTCCAGATTTAATAGGGACAAACTCCGCATAATTATAGGAGCCCTGACTGGCCATTGGCCCCTAAACAAACACGTATATACAATAGGAGTAACAGACAGTCCCCTTGCAGAGGATGTACGGAGGCACAAGAAACGCCACAGCGTGTCATCATGGAATGCAGGAGTGTGGCCGACCAACGGGCACGATTTCTCCAGTCGCTAGCATCGCTGCCAAGGCTGTTTCCCTTCTAGACTGACTTAGGCAGGCTGGAGTAAACGGAAATGTTTCGAGACACACTAAGTACGGAAACCGCCCTGAAAAAATAAACTACAGTCTGTGCTGAAAGAGAATGGGATTAAGATTGGTGGGCGCTGTAGTGCTTTTCTACCGTATTTGTAAGGTTTAAGATCATGATTAAATACAAAAAACCGCCAGAAATCACAACAACAAACAAATCGGTATCAATACACAACTTTGACGTTTTTCAGATTGCTGGGTTTGATTGCCAAATAAAAATCTTTATGTTAGTTCCGTTTTCCGCCACGCCCATTCTCTTTCCGCACAGACTCTACTACCGTATTTCTTTACGTATCAAGAAATATCGTGCTGGCAGTGAAGAGCTACCTCATCATCATCATCATCAGCCTATTAATGTCCCCACTGCTGGGGCACAGGCCTCCCCTATGGATAGAATAGGAAGATGGACCATGACCCACCACGCGGGCCCTGTGCGGATTGACGGGTGCAAACGACTGCAGATGCAGACGGGACCAACGGCTTAACGTGCCTTCCGAAGCACGGCGCAACTCGAGATAGAAGATTTTTGGTCACCCATCCAATGACCGACCACTGCGAACGTTGCTTAACTTCAACGATAGCAGCCGAACGCGCTCACCACCTGCACCATCGAGCTCCTCAAAGAGTTGCTACCTGACAGTAACAAATTATTCTACAAAGTTTATACATATTTCACAAACGAATCACGTCACCGGAAATCTTGCGGAAATCATAGAAAGTGCGATAAAACAGGCTCAAATTTGTAACAAAACTGACGGCAGCCAATTAAAGAATATATTCTTTTTCGCGTAACAGAAAAAAATTAAAGGTCCGAATAAAGATTTCCACCATAGAAAATATTCATTTTTATTTAGGACAAAAAGTTATACAAAATAAGAACCGCATGATTACTATTCACCACACTAATATTATAAAGGCGAAAGTTTGTGAGTGTGTATGTTTGTTACTTCTTAACGTTTAAACAGCAGGTGCGATTTTAATAAAATTTGGTATATAAACTTTTCATTTAAATCTAATACGCCTGTGCGAGACGGACGCTAAAGCGAATGGTTCCATTTTATCGCAGGATACTTTTTAGGTTCCTATGGGATCCATTAAAACTAAAGTATAGAGTTAGCTGACACCCTGGATTAAAACATAGGCTACGTTGTACTGCGGGCAAATATCCCCCAAAAACGGGTAACACCGCGGGGCACAGCTAGTACCTATATAAAAATGATTCACTGCCCTTATGCCCTTAACTTTAAGCATGCAAGCACGAGTACATCGGATAATTTAAAAGAAACCTTAATTAACTAAGATAAGTTCAATGATATTGATACTGCATGACATTGGCAACACATTTGTGCACACCGCGTTACGTAGTAAAGATATTAAAGTGCATAATCTTAAGATATTTTATTATGTAAACAGAAATAAATATTTTTTTTAAGTGCAATTGGAGAGGCCTATGTCCAGCAGTGGACTAGGATAGGCTGTTGATGATGATGATGATGATGAAGTGAAACTTCTTAGCGCACGCTTGACTTGGGGAGTAAACTGGCGATGCGTTACGCGTTACGAAAAGTGTGTTCGGGCGAGGCGAACGGGAGTTGAGTGGGGGATATAAGCAAGAGAAAACACAGTGCGTGTACATTTTCTTTCTCTCTTTCTCTTATAGCATAGATGGAGCTGAAGAAGTTAGCTCGACAAATTAAACAAAAGTTTTATTCTGACGACGAAGCCTGGAAAGGCTACGAAACGTCAATAAATAAATAAAGTTTCGTGCATTATCCCGTTTAAACTAGTTTTATTTAATGAGTGATGTGCGTGAAAACCTAAGAAACAAATAAGTTTCACTCGTTTTTTTTTATACCAGCCACCCACTGTCTTCCCTTAATTAATAAACAAGGAATAAGCTTAGACTAGTTACGCCGTGTATTATTCATATCACAGAAATGCCATTTGTTAAGTTCTTAAGTGGGCTTCCAGTTTCCTCTATGGCCAGTGCCTGTACTCTGTCCAAAATTGTGTCACACTGGGGGGCGAGTGTTGGCGACAGCTATTGGTAATCAGCTATTAAGATCTTTTTGACAGTGTTTTGTCATTTTTATTTAACTGAATGAATGAATATTATTTAATAATATTATTTCACTACAACAAATACAAAAATACATAATATACAGGAACGCAAACTCAAAAGGCGGTTTTATTGCTAAGGTAGCAATCTCTACCAGGCAACCATTTCATTATTTTTCTTCTGTCTTTGTTTTGTGTTCGTGTTAGATACGTATTATATATTTTATCGTGAAATTGCATTTCATTATTAATTTCGCTCCCTGTGCCATCCGTCTACGACAATGACCATTTGTCACCCTCAGAGAAATTCCATTTGGCTTAGTGCCTAAATAGTGTAATTAATCTAAGTATCTAGGTAATTCAATCAATTCGTTAAATTCATTAGACTTAGTTCGTTCATTGAAAACGAAAATAGAATGTCAATAGAAAACACTGGCATCCAAAAGTAAAAATAGAAGAATGCAACAAAAAACGAACATTTTTCACCTTGACCTTACCGAACAATGCCCGATCTGTTACCATTGTCGCAGATGCATCTCGAGATCAATCCAGTGACCCACATACGCATGTGTGTCACGCGTATTGTGCGATGAGGACGCTTTAAAAAAATAAATCGAAGCCATCGTTCATATGTACTCATTCCGAATTCGGTTGTCGATACGCGTGGTCGGTCGCCGTGCTTTTCAATAAAAGTTTTTTTTTAATTTAACGGCTTTTGAAAAGTCCATACAGCCTATAAGATTAGTAACAGTCTTCATTAATAATAAAAGAATATCGAGTGACAGTGAAAATTTTTAATTTTTTAATTTTTTGAATATCGAGTGACAATGATTTTAGCGGCAATTTTTCTTTTTAATTTCGTGAACGCGGAGTACTTTTTGAACAGAGTTAACCACATGGAGTTTTATAATAGGAACAGGACGCGGCCTTCGAAAGCCTTCAGTAGTTTCTCAACAAACTATTTCAATCAGAATTCGGTTTCGATGACGGGAAAAGGGGAAAAAGTACAATGTGGCACGAGGATTGTTGATTTCAATCCAAGGAGGACGGGCAAGATTGTCGGTGGTACTGAGACGCCGTACGGAGCGTATCCTTGGCAGGTGAGTATGTAGCAACTATTAAATGTATAGCCCAAAATATCAAAGATACAGTAAAGGCGGTTACGAAGTTTGTCCAAGACTAAAAAAAATATAAGACTATGCACTGCCGGATTTAGGGGAGGGCAACCGGGGCGAAAGCCCCGGGGCCTCCACAAACGGGGGGCCCCCACAATAGAGACTTCGGAAAAAAAAATCTTTCAAATTCCAACTAGTAAACATCTTTTCCTTTGATATTTTTTTGCTCTTTTACCTTTACCCAGGGCCGAATTTAAGGCAGGGCAGGTGTGGCTGTGGCCCAGGGGCCTCCACAACAGCTTAAGAAATAACAACATTTCGATGGGTCAATAAACATACAAATCCTAAGTGGCCCGGGGCCTCCACAATCCTAAATTCGGCCCTGAGACTATGTACTCTAATAATAATATGTTCTCTGTAAAAAGTTATGCGTGATCATACGAACAAAAAATACGCGTCGATTTGATAATTTCCTCCGTTTTTTTTCGTCGGTTGAAAAATGATTACGACCAATAAATACTTCTTACCAAAATAAAAATTGTACAAAAAAAATCACTTTTAGGTAATGAATGAAAAAAAAGATGTAATAATTTTCTTTTTATTATTTTAAAATATACGTTTTTTTCTAAATGGCTTCGCACTGAATTAAATCCTTGACTTAAACCTCGAAGAAGCTTGATAGCGCTGTGGCTGTACGTTAGGTTTACGCGATTTTGCAACTCTCACAATGGCTGGACATGGGATGGATGATCAAATTTTATTTAAATGAAATAAAATCATGCTTTATTCAAATTGACTTATTGAAATCTCTTTTGAATCGTCCAATATATTCTCCTAGCACACATTCAGGACATCTTTTAGCTAAAGAGAAGAATGGGCGCAGGAAACTCACCAGCATTCAACAAAAGTAGCAACAATTACAAAAAAAAATCAATTCGCTACCAATACAACTTCCACTCACATTTTGATTGCTGTGTAAAACATTAAAAATACAAACAATCAACTTGAACTTCTACGTGCTTCGGAAGGCACTTTAAGCTGTTAGTTTCATCTGTACCTGTAGTTGTTAACAATTCGCACTAGACCCACGTGGGTCATAGCCCGTTATCAGTCATTCTCCTTATTCAAACCATGAGGAAGGTCAGTACAATAGTTTTCAAAGCTTTCTTATGGTTTGATTGCTAATCTTATACTGACCTACTATTGGCGCTTTCACCAACATCATCAGCCTATTAATGTCTCCGCTGCTGCGGCACACAGGCCTTCCCTATGGATGTAATAGGGAGATTGGGCCATGACTCACCACGCGGGATCAGGGGGGTTGGCGGGTGCTAACGACAGTAGATGCAGCCGGGACCAACGGCTTAACGTATCTTCAGAAGCACGGAGGAAACCGAGATAGAAGATTTTTGGTCACCCATCCAATGACCGACCACTGCGAAAGTTGCTGAACTTCAATGATTGCAGCCGAACGCGCTAACCACCCGCGCCATCGAGCTCACCTTGACGCTTTGTCACCCCTTAAAGAAATACCTTAACTCCTTCAATAACATACGATATTTCTGAAAGAGCAAAACGCTAGTTTTACAATATAATAAAAGTTTTTTTTTATTTATGTTTTTATTTTTGACGACCTCCGTGGTCGAGTGGTTTGTACGCCGGGTTTCATGGTGTCGCCGACTCGAGAGGTCCCAGGTTCGAATCCCGGTGGGAACAGATGTTTGTGTGATGAATACGAGCATTTGTAGTCCAGTCATGGATGTTTAATATGTATTTCTATATAAATATACTTATATATGTACAGTATTTGTATTCTATCCGTTACCCTAGCATCCCATAACACAAGCCTTACAGTGCTTACTTTGGGGCTAGGCTAATTGGTGTGAGTGTTGGACATATTTATTATTATTATTTATTATGTTTGTGGTATTGCAATTGATTGAATATAATAAAAAAACGAGCGAGCCTTACAGTAGTCGCGTATGATGTGTAACATTTGATACCTCACCCTAAATTAGTAAAAAAAGAAATAAAATCTACTACGAAAGGAATAAGCCATTTGAACATTATGTTCTAAAATCAAATCAAATAGCGCGCGCTTTCGCGACTTCCTGTTACACACTTCCGCCCCATTTCACGAAATCACTGCCACAAATTGCAGGAAAGCGAGAGGAAAAATGTTACACATTAATAATCATTATTAACAGGTTGCACAAACCGATCAAACACATTATGCAAAACTGTTTCATAAATTTTTCGCATGAGAAAAAAAATAAAGGCCGAATTCCCGCCAAAATAACCCGCACTGTCACACGTTGACATATGATCTGCGCGCGCAAAGTTCGAAGCGTTTTGTTATTGCTTATTTATTCATTTGTTCGTTTAAACTTTCACTCGTGTCGTTTGCAAATCGATTTTCTTTTGTTTGCTGTATGTTTTGAGCAACCACGGTTGTTACGGTCTTTCAGTGAAGACCAATGGGCCAATTTACATATAGCATCCTTGAGAGAGATAATATAAATGTTTTGTGAGAGCAGACGTTAGAATTGATTTGTCATTAGTCAATTTCAGCCCCATGTTGGGCGCCAAATTATCTTGAAAAAAAAATATTTATTGTATTTAGCAAATAATACTCGTTAACATTTACTCGTTCTAAATAATCGAAAAACCAACTTGTACTAAGTATTTACGCAGTGTTTTTTTTAACATCACTGATTTTTTTTGAGTGTGTATGCTGTTGGTCGCAGATGACCTTTACAGCATCACCAGGTTTGGGGACGGCGAGATCCTAAGGGGACCTCAAGCCTAGAATTGGCGAGTGCCTCTAGAGGTATTCCAGGCGGATGGCATCTCCCCACGGGGGAAGTCTCGTCTCCGTCTGGAGCCTCTAGACCACTCAAACCTGAGAGGTGCATTGAATCTGAATAGATACACAGTGTGACCAAGACCTTGTCATGCGTGGCCAAAATCGGAACAAAGTTTATGAATATAAATAAAACTAGTTTTTACGGGTTAATGCACGAAACTTTATTTATTTATTGACGTTTCGCAGCCTTTTCAGGTCTGCATCGTCAGAATAATGATTTTTATTTAAAATTGTCGAGCTACCTTCGAAAGACTTATATTGAGCGTTTGGTTATTTCATTGGAAGATTTTTAAAATTTTATTGTCTATGTATGAATTTATTATTTAATCCACTTAATAAAGTATTTTATTTAAAACTCTTGTTTGTAATTTTGAGTTTATTTATTTGACCCTAACTACCGTAAACTACCACCGGTTCCAAAATTGGGAGACCTTCCTGAGAAGAACCGGCGAAACAAACTCAAGAGAGGCTTTCTATCTCCTTCTTATGTTAAATTATGCAAACAAAAAGAACTAATAGTATCTGATGGTCTTGCAGTGTGTGCTCGGGGTTGGGATTTTATCTCCTGTATAATAGGTTCCCAAGCTGGTGGTATATACCAACCATCTTCCCTATTGAAATTTGGATATTTTTTAATCTCAATAGCCTCGCGCATCATTCGAGGAACGAACCGCCGCTCAGCTGCAAGGATCTATCAAATCTAATGTAGTGGTTTGGTCCCCCTAATGCATGTTCACACACTGCAGAAAACTAGTTTTATTTAATGAGTGATGTGCGTGAAAAGCTAAGAAACAAAAAGTTTATGAAGTCATAAATAATCCTTTTTATTTATATAGGAAGGTGTTATGTAATAAGCCTTTTATATTTTCTGTCAATTTATTAATTAATATTTAATGCACAAGCGTACAAAGGCGGACTTAAAGCCGTAGGCATTCTCTGCAAGGCAACCGTAGGGTTACTCTTTAAAATTTACACAGACGATGTATTTCATAAATATTTAAGGGGTGCTCCGATACAGCAAACTTGAATTTTGCTCTATACTAAGAACGGCAAAAGGTGAAATAAAAATATATTGTAAATACTTGAAATATTTACAGATTATTTAGTTGTACTTATACAGAGTGAAAGTATATTAAATATTCAGGATATTTTACTGAAAGAACACATCATTTTATTTGTAATAATAACAAGAACTGCATTCACAGATTTTTTTAAAATCGCCTGCTACTACTGGGAATTAAACTCGTGAAATAAAAAAAATACATGTATTTTATGACAACCGTCGAAAGGGTAAATCCGAGGATCATTATTTTCTTAATAACAAAGCATTTTAAATGAAAGGAAAACCACGAAATTTGTCTTACTAAAAGTAAGATAATTAAAAAGAATGGCAAAACAAAAAAAAAGTTGGTTATGAATTTTTTAAAATAAAAATACCGACGTCAGCTCTCAATCTTATATTGAGTTAAGTAACACCATCAAATGCGTCATCAGCGGCAATGACCTAAACTTGTTTCCGAGAAGTTATTTGCGCTTTAAACTTGAATGCACATACATTAACGAAAAGAAATTGTCATCTTATGATATAACTGTTGAGTAACGAGGTAACATTATTTCATAAAGATTAAACCGTTGATTGTTGTGCAATCATCACCATCATCAGCTCCTTAATTACCCCACTGCTGGGGCACAGGGCTTCCTTATGGATGCAATAGGGAGATTGGATCATGACAGCCTAAACAACTGGGGCCAAGTCTAAGTACATTCCGAAGCACGTAGAATCTAGAGAGAAAAAATTAATTACTACACATCTGAAGCGAAACTTAGTTTTCTTAAATAACCTTACATTAGGCGGTGCAACGGTGCAATATATATGTATACGGTATATATATGTATATACATTGTCGCGTGTGACGCCCGTGACGCTGGTAGCGTTTTAGCCTGCGCCGAGTTACCCTCCAAATTTTATGCGCGTCGGGAAGAGCTGCGCATTCATCCCACACATACACACACACACACACATATATATATATATATGAAGTCATGAGAACCATAGTGGCCTATCTTACTTAGGCTAGTATGGCACCTCAAATTTAGATCACAGACTAAAAACCGTAACAGTGATTATGCTGAAATCTAGTGAACATTAGTTGTATCACTTTTAACCACTCTGGTTCCATCAAAATGATCAATTTGAACTGGAAAAAATCATAAACTCAATATTGTAAAAAAATTAGTTAGGCCACTATGGTTCTCATGGCCTCATATATATATATAGTTGCGTGACGCTCGTCACGAATTTTTTGCATAGGATTTTTCCATTTTCACCCCGTCCGCAAAGAATATTAGTAAAAACCTCGGAAAGGGACCTCAAAACGAAATAAATGTAACCGTAACAGGATAATTTGTTATCCGCCTGGTCGTCTGTCAGTTAAGGCTAGACCCTGTCTGACGACGAAGACGTCTGTCAGTCCCTTTATCTAGGGATCGAACTCAGATCTCTGCATCGGAATTCCAGTAGGCGTATTCGCTAACTGCTTTAGACGAAAATGATAATCACCGAGCTATTTCGTGATCTACTACTGCATGACTATTTATTTATTGTGATAAAAACGACAAAAAGCAATTACATTTATCACACATTTACATTTTTCAGTTTCACACATTTTAAATGAATGTCATAATAAATCATACAACGTCAATATTTATATAATATACTATAAATAGGGTAAGCATTTCAAATAAAAATTATATGTTTTAACAAAAATTTATGTCAAGCACTATCTTCATTGTCAGTGCAAACAGTATTGCTCCATTGATCCGTTATACTTTCACAATAACATATTAATGCAGACTTGATGGTAGACCAACTATCAAAAGAAAAGTCAAATTCAGTGTTGGCGTCCCGGAGTGCATTGAGGTTACGCTATGATCTAACCAAAGGTGACAGCGCACGCGCCACGGCGTGGCCCCTGTTTTCGTGAAAGAGATTATGTTGCCGAGGAGGACTACGCCTGCGTTCCGGTGGAAGCCCAGGTTCAGTGGCGGCGCTAGGCGTCGGCGACGTCGGCCACCGCCGACGGCCTCGCGCCTGAGGGGGCCTCGCAAAAAATTTTTACAAGTTACCTATTTATTTTCGTTTCTCCTGGCCTGGCTTAGGTAGCCGACTCCGAACAATTCGAGGAAAAACTTTTATTATTTTCGAACACGTGCGTGATAGAAGCGAGTAGTACTTTACGGGTATTCAGAATCGTCTGTCTGGCAACACTATTTTTGTAATTCAATTTCTATTTTTTTAATGTTTTTTTGTCATCATTTGATTATCAACAATAAAACTCGTTTACTCATACGTTGTTTTATAATTTGGCTCACTTAATTTAACGGTTTTTTACTGCGAAGTATAATAGGCCTCGCGAACTTGATGTCGCCGACGTCCACATGTGGTCTAGCGCCGCCACTGCCCAGGTTTGTCCGGACAAACAAAGGACAAACAGAATACACAAAAGATTGTCCAAGTGGAGGCAGTCAACAGATCCTTTAAGCGTTTTCACACATAAGGTTACTTGGTCGATGAGTCTTCTCACCTCTAGGGAATTCAAGCCGAGATGTCCGAGTAAAAAGTTTGTTGGGTAACAAAATGGATAATAGCCATGGGATTTTTTGTAAAGAAACCTTAAAAATTATAAAACGCCACTAAGATACTTGTTCTGAACAGTATCGATGGATATGCATTTCTTTTCAGTTACAAACTATAAATGTCAAAAAAGTTAGCTTAAACAGGGTGACTTATCAGGATCTCATTAATGACAGTTCTTAATTAAAATTAATCAATGTAAGAACTGTCAAAAATTGAATTTATTAGAGTCAGTGCGGAAAGAGAATGGGCGTGGCGAAAAACGGAACTAACATTAAGATTTTTATTTGGCAATCAAACCCAGCAATCTGTAAAACGTCAAAGTTTTGTATTAATACGGATTTGTTTGTTGTTGTGATTTCTTGCGGTTTTTGTATTTAATCATGTCTAAAAGGGGTAAAACCTTACAAATACGGTAGAAAAGCACTACAGCGCCCTCCAATCTAAATCCCATTTTCTTTCCGCACAGACTCTAGTAACCATTTTTGTTGCCATAACCATTTGTTTTATTGAAGAATTCTATATCTTGGTTACTTAGCAATAAAGTAATTATTTAGCGGAAAGTAATAACTCCTTTATATTATTACGAGAGGAGCTCGATGGCGCAGGTGTTTCGCGCGTTCGGCTGCGATCGTTTAAGTTAAGCAACTATACTACGGTCGGTCTTCGGATGGGTGACCAAAAATCTTATTATATTATTGGGTCGTGCCAAGCATACAATACTCCTAGTACGAACTTATATCGATTTCGAATAGTTTGCGAGTACGAAATGTCATTGTCAAATGTATGGAAACTTGAACAGCAGTACCACAAAGTACGTAACAAGAACTAAAAATCAGTACACATTTGAAAACCAACGGACTCGCAAACTATTCGATTTCGATATTGGTTCGTGCTAAGGGTGTTGATTTTAAGTTATCGTTACGTCCGCTGTGGCGCTGCTGTTCAAGTTTCCATGCAAAATTTGACATAGACATTTCGCACTCGCAGTACACATTCGACGTAAAATTTGACCGAATTCAGCTACTCGAATTCGATAATGTTTCATGCTACTAGTATATGGCCACTATTTTCATTTAGTTCTAGAATGGCAAACGGAACGTAACTTGTGAGGTAAAACCACGGGGTAAAACAATAATTAATGTTGTATAACTAGAAAAAAATCCACGCGGACTAGGCAGCAGACGGGACTCGAACCCGCAACCTTCGCAATCCGGGCGAATGCACTAACCAATTATGCCTGGTCCGCGTGGAATTTTTTCTAGTTATATTTTCTTTAGATTTAAACATCAAGCAGTTACATGCTTTAAAATAATAAAAATTATAACAATAGTAATGAGGAGCTCGATGGCGCAAGTGGGTAGGGCGTTCGGCTGCGATCGTTGAAATTAAACAACTTTCGCAGTGGTCGGTCATTGGATGGGTGACCAAAAATTTACTATCTCGAGCTCCTCCGTGCTTCGGAAGGCACGTTAAGCCGTTGGTCCCGGCTGCATCTGCAGTCGTTAGCACCCACCAATCCGCACTGGGCCCGCGTGGTGGGTCATGGCCCAATCTCCCTATTCCATCCATAGGGAAGGCCTATGCCCCAGCAGTGGGGACATTAATAGGCTGATAATGATGATGATGATAACAATAATTATTGTTATGTTTACATCCAGGTGGAAATCCAGATGTTGGACGTGGACAAACTGACATTCGAACACCACTGTGGTGGTGCTGTGATCGCGGAGAGATTAGTGCTGTCAGCTGCGCACTGCTTTGATAAGGTCAGTCAGTCTTTTCTGATATTAATCTCTGTTTTTTAAAGCTTAAGTGTCCCCGCACACGGGCCACCGACCACAATTACAAAACACCGCCACCGGCATATTTCATGTAGTTTTCATACATTTTATATGGACTCGCCACACACGATACGCCACCGGTGGCCACCACACGCTACAAATCGTCGTTGCTCGCTTCTTGTGGCCCGCACCGGCCACTTAATGCGCCGAAACAAAACGCCGGCTGTCGCGCGCTTCAGCCACTTTAGTAGCCGCTTCTAGCTTCTCGTGGCGGCGTTTGTGGCTGTGGCGTGTGGCCCACATGCGCCGACTCTAATAGGCGTCGTTCGACCACAATCTCGCCTGATGGAAAGCGATGATGAGGCCTAAGATAGTACACACCTACCTAGAAGATGCCTGTTCACTCTGGCCTTGAAGATGTTCAGATTATATTGGTCCGGGGAAACAGACCTCGGCAAGGAGTTCCACTCTCTAGCCGTTCGCATAATGAAAGCGGAAACAAATCTATTAATATTAATTTATAAATTTTTTAGAAAGCACACGTAGTCAAGTCTCCATATTTATAGAATTTAGAATTAGAATTTTGGACAGAATTTAGAATAGAACTTATTTAGTTATAATTTTTATTATTTATAAAGCATGTAACTGCTTGATGTTTAAATCTAAAGAAAATATAACTAGAAAAAATTCCACGCGGACCAGGCAGCAGACGGGACTCGAACCCGCAGCCTTCGCAATCCGGGCGAATGCACTGACCAATTATGCTACCGCGGCCCTCACGGACCGCGTCGAAATTCTCTCTAGCTATTCTTAAGCTGCAAGGCAGCGCCATCTCTTCGCATTATAGGTAAACCCACAATGTCAAATGAATACTTTTACAAGTATTAAACATTTGAAAGAAGAAATAGCAATTATAGTTATAATTTTTATTATTTATAAAGCATGTAACTGCTTGATGTTTAAATCTAAAGAAAATATAACTAGAAAAAAATCCACGCGGACCAGGCAGCAGACGGGACTCGAACCCGCACCGTTATATTTTCTTTAGATTTAAACATCAAGCAGTTACATGCTTTATAAATAATAAAAATTATAACTATAATTGCTATTTCTTCTTTAAAACCTTTTTTATTATTTAAAATAAAAAAGGTAATAATAATATAGATGCTTATTAATATTAAAAAAAAATAACAAATAATTAAAGGAAAGAGGTATTTTCAAAATAAGGATAGGAAATGACGCTTAACTTGCTCACGGAACAAGTCCAGAATGCGAGCCCTTCGAATGGATTCCGGTGAATTATTGCGATTAGGCACCTAAAATAGGGAAACCTGTGCTTTCCTGCACCTTTGGTACCTGCAATCCTTCCTTGATGTACTAAGTACTTGTTATTTGTGCACAGGATTCATGAGCAGGGAAAAGAAATTAACTAATACAATGTAGTTTTAAATACATGTCTATAAATTAATTGCTAAATAGTTAAAATTAACATTATTTACAAGAATACATACAAACATGGTCAAATATCACCCCGTATCGTTTCCGGCGCAAAGGTGCCCATTATGCTTGCAGCATTGCCACGCTGGATGGCAATGGAAAGTCTTTGTGCCAGAAACGACTCGGAGCAGGGTCATTAGTTTTTTGCCTGAGTCGGCGGCCCAGGTCCCACACAAATTGCATGGAGGGGGGGCACACGGCAGCGCGTTGCCCGGCGAAAGAGGACCGGAGCACTCTGTGCTTCCGGTGCGGGGCAGCGGGGCACAAGGCGGCGACGTGTGCTGCCCTCACCAGATGTATGGTGTGCGCGGCGATTGGTCGGCCGGCAGACCATATAATGGGGAGCGGGAGGTGTGACCCGCCGGTAACAAGGTCAAACCTCCCGAGCGAGTGGTCTCTGAGTCGGCGCACGGACGGAAGCCCTCAGAGGGGGGGATGTCCGAGTAGCCTCGGCCACTCGGACCCCCCCACGACTGCTGTCGCCTTTCCCCCCCTCTTCTCCTAGGAGAAGACGTGTGAGACGTGGGCGACCGCGAGGGAGGAGAGGGACGGGAAGAATTACGCTTTCCCTCCCGCTCCCCCCTCCCAGGAACGGCGGCCCCCCCAATGCTGCTGGGGGCGGAGCCGTGGTAGAATCCCTAACGGGGACCCTGCGGCTCCGCACTTAGCAGTGTTGAAGATATTCGCAGGACTTTTTTAGCGGATATTATACCGTAAAGCGCCCGTAAGAGTTGCGGGGTCCTCGGTGGGTAGCCACTGGGGGGTCCGTAAGACTTGTGGGAGCCAGGTGTGAGGTCCGTTCGGCGGTGTGCCTCTTAAAGGCGCCGTCGTCTGTAAAAAGATTTTTTACCTGCATTAAAAAAAAAGGTCCCACACAAATTGCTTGGCCTCTGCGCTCCAACAAACCGCCAAAAGCAATCAATCAATCAATCTAGTTTAAAATATGTAATAAAAAAACTATAGGGAAGGCCTCCTCTGTTTCCTCCCTCCTACATGAGCCACATCGGATCCGCGCGGTTGCTATATAAATCCTCGCGGATACACATCAGATTAGCGGGTGAAAATTTTACAGAATAATCTGTTACCTGAGATTCCAAAGTTATTTTTCATATTTCATCATGTTATGTTGACTGTAATCTATATTGCATCTTAGAAAAAAAAAACATGCTTTGAAAGAGCCGTGGTTCAGCCACTTCTGCTGTCGTTAGCACCCACAAATCCGCAGTGGGCCAGCGTGGTGGGTCACGGCTAAATCTCCCTTTTCCATCCATAGAGAACACCTGTGCCCCAGCATTCATCATCATCATCATCAGCCAATTAATGTCCCCACTGCTGGGGCACAGACTTTCCCTATGGATGGAATAGGGAGATTGGGTCATGCCCACCACGCGGGCCCAGTGCGGATTGGAGGGTGCTAACGACTTCAGATGCAACCGGCATCAACGGCTTAACGTGCCTTCCGAAGCACGGAGGAGCTACTACTTACTATCTCGATAGTAAATTTTTGGTCACCCATCCAATGACCGACCACTGCGAAAGTTGCTTAGCTTCAACGATCGCAGCCGAACGCGCTAACCAGTTGCGCCATCGAGCCCCAGCAGTGCCAACGTTAATTATGCTCATGATCATGAATATTATGAACAAGCCTTGACCTTACGGTTTATTCATCTTAATCAAGTTTGTTTAATTTTCCCAGCAACCTCTGCAGTTGGATCACTTGCGTCTGGTGGTTGGCGAGCATAAACTGAAGGTTCAGGATAAACACGAGGCCAGGTTCCACGCGGAGAAGGTGGTGCCTCATCCTGACTTCAGGAAGAGTGAGTTTTTGCTGTATGTTGTATCTATTCATGAGGTTCACCAGAAACAAAAACATTATTACAATCTAAACTTAAATGGTGCTACAAATGGCAAAGTTGACAAAAGCTTCGTACAGTTTATGTCAAAACTGAAACGTCAGAGTGAAAAGCTGTACTCGGAGCGTAGGTTTGGAACGGAGCCCCCGCTAGCGAGGTGTCAAAAAAATGGCCGATGAACCAATACCCTACCCCTTGACCCGCGCGGAGGAGGGGGGGATATGTACATGTTTTCCATTAGGTTCGGTAAACAAAACTATTGTTGATGCAAACAAATATGTGTATTTTTTTTTCTTTCTTATTCTGCATCATGGCTATCTGTTTTTAACAACAATAAGCCCTGCTTTTGCCTGATATTTATCTTTATTTTGTTTAAACGCAGTGAGCCTTTCCATTTTTTTTTATGTTATAGGGGGCATACGTGCAGACGGCTCACCTGATGGTAAGTGATCACCGTCGCCCATGGACACTTGCAACACCAGGAGTATCACAAATGCGATGCCGGCCTTTAGGGAAGGAGTACGCTCTATTTATTGAAGGTTTTTGGGTCGTATTGGTCCGGAAACACTGCTGGCGACAATATATTCCACAGTTTTGTCGTACGTGGTAAAAAATTTCGACAAAAACGATGATGTAAACAAATATGTGTAATGAAACAAAATTTTTGTGCAGTCGATTTTGTTGAATGCAGCGCTACAAAGCGCTGGAGACCCGCCTTCAATTTGTCATTTTTACTGGTCGCAAATCAATTTATCGACGTAACAGGTTTGATTTTAAAACGCTTTTCTTTCAGAGGGGAATCATATTATATATACTTACGCATATAAAATATGTTTTTCTTCCAACAGACGGCCCCCACAGTAACGACATAGCGCTAGTGGTCGTCTCCCGGTCGGGGCAGGGTGTGCAGTTCAATTCCCACGTGAGGCCGATCTGTTTACCCGACACCGCCGATAGTGCGGGTAAATGGTGCTCAGTGAGCGGTTGGGGGTATCAGGCAGGTATGATCACTACAAATTCATCCACAGAACACAGAAACTACTTAGAAGCGTGATCTATTAGACCGTACGAAAGGGAACCGATGCCGCCGGCTCGCCCACACTACGCTATAATAGCCAATCAAAGGATGCGACATCAAACGATCGAACCAATCAGCGTTCACAGTGGAGAGAACTGACGCAATCAGAACCAAGTTTTGGTCGAGTCATAAGCATTTGCTCACACATAACTGTGGCGCGCCTGCTCTGCCTACAAGACCCTTCTAACCACTTTCTGTATTCTGTGTATTAATCATCATCATCAGCCTATTAATGTCCCCACTGCTGGGCACAGGCCTTCCCTATGGTTGGAATAGGGAGACTGGGCCGTGACCTACCAAGCTGGTACTTTAGGTGTATACTAACGACTGCAGATGCAGCCGGGACCAACGGTTTAACGCGCCTTCCGAAGCACGGCGGAGCTCGAGATAATAAGTTGTTGGTCTCCTATCCAACGACCGACCACAGCGAAAGTTGCTTAACTACCACGATCGCAGGCCAAACGCGCTATCCACCGCGCCATCGAGCTCCATATTCGAGCGAAGACTAATACCGAAAAATAATGATTAATAACGCAAATACAAAAAATATTTTTAGCAAAGGAATGTAGGTGACAAAATGTAAACTATTCAAAGGCCGAAGCAAGAACTTTGACAGCTCCGTTATCGTATCTTTCTCTCCAAATTTAAGAGCTATGCTCTTGTCGGTGCAGTCTATAGATCCCCCGCCATCTCCCTCTGTCCTTCGCCAACTCTTTGAGCCCCCTGTAGGACTCGACCCCAACCTTTTCCTTAATTTGCTTAGTGTAGGCTATCCTCGGTCTCCCCCTTCCTCTCTTTCCCTCAATGATGTCCTTTATGAATTCGTCGTGCCGCACAAGGTGGCTGAACGTAATCGTATAGTCATCGTCAATTTTGTATGGAAGGAGCCAGTTTGTTCTTACGTCCGGTAGGTGGTGTTGCTTAGTTTTCCTACAAACTTTGATGATGCGATACGATTACGGAGCTGCCAAAAATTGTAACTGGACCTCTTTATACACACATACAAGACATGTCGCCGATCCCTGACGACGAAATCACCCGCGCCAACGCGCTTTCGACACCTCCCACACAGGCCACAAACACCAACACTACACAGCTAGCATACAGGCGCACTAGCTTAGCATTAGGCAGACACCGCACCCGTAGGATAAGAGTGCGAAGATCCGGTCCGGGACCTGGGCGTTTTTCCCCGCCCCCCACGACAACGGCTAACTAGAGCCGAGGTCCGAGAAGCTCTCTAGTGGAGACGATCCCCTCAGGTTCGAGTGGTCTAGAGGCTCCAGACGGAGAGGAGACTCCCCCCGTGGGGAGATGTCATCCGCCTGGAATATCTCTAGAGGCACTCGCTAATTCTCGGCTTGAGGTCCCCTTAGGATCTCGCCGTCCCTAAACCCGGTGACGCTGTAAAGGTCTTAAGCGACCAAGCATACACACTTAAAAAATGGCGCCTACAAAATATATTTCAGCAAAGGAGTGTAAAAAAATTGCTTCAAATAGATACTCAGGAGACAAATACAAATTAAATACTTCGAGATACGAAATTGCCTCAAATAATTACACAGTTAAACACAGTATGGCGCTTGATGGCGCTGGTGATTAGCGCGTCCTACAATCGTAGAAGATAAGTAGCTTACACAATGGTCGGTCATCGAATGGGTGATCAAAAAGTTATTATCTCTCACTCCTCCGTGCTTCGGAAGGCACGTTAAGCCGTTGGTCGCGGCTGCATCTGCAGTCGTTAGCACCTACCAATCCGCACGCGTGGTGGGTCACGGTCCAATCTCCCTATGGAAAGGATGGAATGGAAATGGAAGGCCTGTGCCCCAGCATTGGGGACATTAATAGACTGCTTATGTCGAAGATATGCAATCGCCTTAAACAAAATACACAGTAAAACATACCAAGGTGAACACTGAAATTTCTCTTTTGCCTTTACAGAGGGTACAGAATCTTTCGCACCGATCTTGAGAGCTGCCTCTGTACCAGTTCTGGACTTGGGCACTTGTAGGAAGGACCAGGTTTTGGGGGGAAGGCAGCAAGCTATATTAGACTCTATGTTGTGTGCAGGTAAGGCGATAACATAATTAAGTAAAAGTTAACGTTGTTGAATCGATAAATAGATTGTATTATTGTACCTACATTTAAATAATATTTTTGAGGTGTAACATCTTTATAGTAATATACGTTATTTAAGGGATTGTTACCATGTACCTTGTTTTTAGTGAGTTTTCGATATTTCTCGACAGAACGACAGAAAGCCACTACATACCAATATTGGTCAGGGAAGCAATTGAAAATACCAAAACATAAAATTAAATTAACAAAGGACGGGTTTAAATTGTCGAGTGTCTGGAATCCTGATGTTCGTATAAGTAAAAACGGAAATAATCAAAAAAGTGTCGTATCGCGATCGAATACTGTATTACCGTGCTGTAAGTGTTGTGTGTCCAGAACAGTTTCGATTGAATAGTGAGAATATTATGAACAGTGGTACGGGTATCAAACGCAATAAAAGACTTGGTTGGAGGGTAGACCGATATGTCTGCCAATAACAGCCTACCCGCAATTACTTCAGTTACTTAGTGTACATGGCGCTTGCAACATTGCCGAACTCGCTAAAAACAAGGTACATGGTAACAATCCCGCACCCGAACGCGCTAACCACCAGCGCCATCGTGCTCCGTATTAGGTTCATCATCATCAGCCTCTTAATGTCCCCACTGCTGGGGCACAGGCCTTCCTTATGGATGGAATGGGGAGATTGGGCCAAAACCCACCACGCGGGCGCAGTGTGGATTGGCGGGTGCTAACGACTGCAAATGCAACCGGGACCAACGGGTTAACGTACCTTCCGAAGCACGGAGGAACCCAAGATAGAAGATTTTTGGTCACCCATCCAATGACCGACCACTGCGAAAGTTGCTTAACTTCAACGATCGCAGCCGAAAGCGCTAACCACCCTCGCCATCGAGCTCCGTATTAGGTTATTTTAGTTTAATTAATTTCTTCTCTCCTAACTCCACCAAAGAGGTAGTTTTACTGTAAGTCTTCTGTCAGGTGGTCACTTACCTGCCTTAATTATGTAAAGACATTTGTCTTTTTATTACAGGAGTGTTATCCGGGGGCGTAGATGCCTGCAGAGGTGATTCAGGAGGTCCTCTAGCTTGTAAATCTACTAACAAATGGCAACTTCACGGTGTTGTGTCCTGGGGATCGGGGTGTGCACGACGAGCGAGGCCAGGAGTCTACACTAGAGTAGCTTCTTATGTACCCTGGATCAAAGCCACCGCTAAAGCTTTAGGACACAAAATATCTACATAGTTCTTTTGTTTTGTAGGAAATAGTGAGTACAAGTCAGACTCACAGTGAGTCTGAAAAAAAAAGTGAGTGATATCAATATCAATCATCAGCCTATTAGAGAACCCTCTGCTGGGGCACAGACCTACCCTATGGATGTAATGGGGATTGGGACGTGACCCACCAGGCAGGCCCAGTGGGTATTGGTGGGTTCTAACGACTGCAGATGCAGCGGGGATCAATGGCGTAACGTGCTCGAGATAGTAAATTTTTGGTCAGCCATCCAATTACCGACCACAGCGAAAGTTGCTTAACTTCAACGATCGCAGCCGAACGCGTTAACCACTTGCGCTATTGAGCTCTTACGGAGTAATATGTTGTGTAGGAATTAGTGAGTGAAGAATTTTGAGTCAAAGCCTAGTCTATAAATAAAGTAGCATCTTATGTTCCTTGGATTAAGCGCTAAGGCCACCGCTAAGGCTTTGGGACAAAATATCTACATAGTTCTTTATATTGTGTAGGTGAATTAGTGAGTAATGGACTGTCTGTCAACTCACAGTAAGTCTGCGAAATTAGTGAGTAATTTAGTGCTGGTTGATTGCTTAAAACAGTGTTGTGTATTGGTGTAAATTGTGAAATTTATCTTGATTGTTAAGACCAGGGGGCCATTCGCCTAACAGAAATGCTTTGGAAAACGCTAACGCTTTCGATTTTTTTTTGTTATTTCTGACCGCCGAAGGTTTTCGAATACCTCACGCTCATTTCTTTAATATTGTTATTACCAATCCAAAAGAAAAAAAAAGAGCGCGAGGCATTTGAAAACCTCAGGCGGCTAGAAATAACAAAATGAAATCGTAAGCGTTAGCATTATCCAAAGCATTTCCGTTAGGCGAATGGCCCCCAGGAGTCTTCCACTATTTGTTAGTTATTAACTTACATTACATTGGTTGTTAATATAAAAAACTTATTGTACTCACCATTTAAATCGCAATAAATGGTGAGCGCATTGTAAAACTGGAAACGTGATTGAAAAACATGGGTCAGAATATGGGTAAAATAATAAAATTATAAAAACTATTGAGTACCTATTTTACTTTAAATAATAATTCATATAAACATCATGATATAATTGAAATTAACTTACAAAGTGTAAGTCTATGGTGGTTGATAGGTAGTATTGCCAGGTCCGATTGATTTTGAATCGGTACATGAGGTCAAAAGAATCGGGATTTAGAGTTGCAGATCGGGACAGTAAACAAAAAACAAGGGGTTTTTATGACTGGGTTTAATTTATTGCGTTTTAAACTACGAGGGCAAGTATACTATTATATTAATAACCTAAATTTAATTTTTTGATTAATCCGGACATTAAGCGTCCCGATCAGGTACAAATTGGGACGCGTCCCCAGACCCCTGAAAATCGGGACGTCTCGCGCAAATCGGTACACCTGGCAACACTATTGAAAGGCTACGTTGGCTGCTTATTTTTAGATGGGCTATGTACTTGGTATTCTCCCTTTTAACAGAAACAAAATAAGTTAATTACAAGTCGCGTTCGTCTGCCTATAATAATTGATATTTTATACAAAAAAAAGCTTAATTAATTAAGTTTACTTTATTTGTTTCTTAGGTAGCTCGACAAATGAAATAAAAGTTTTATTCTGACGACGAAGCCTGTAAAGGCTACGAAACGTCAATAAATAAATAAAGTTTCGTGCATTAACCCGTAAAAACTAGTTTTATTTAAGTTTACTTTAATTTAGTTACACAAATATTGTTAATGCAAATTTGCTCTTTGTGTCCCTCTCGCGCTTGGTGAAATAAAGAATAATTAAAGTTTATGTTAATACACAGTTTCTTATGTAGCTAGTATAAAAAATGTATTTGTGTGTTAATAAATGTAACCCATTCTATATTTTTGAGTCAAACATAGTTCAATTTTGACCCACATGAGTGCAGTATACTAGTATGAGACATACTCACTTGTGATTTTAGAAATCGTGTGTTAATTTATTAGGAATTTAATTAAATGAAGATTAAAGAACTACTAAAAATGTAGTTTATTAGAAACATGTCATTGAAAATTATAAATTGTGTATGTAAAATTTTGTATTCCTAAATGATAAATATATAAACGTCATTGAGTTTGATGATATGTATAAGAGAAAGTTATACCTATTTATATTTAAAATTAATTTTGTTACATTATATTTAAGTTTTACAAGAAATGAATACAATAAGGTGTTGTTAGTAATTTATTTTAAATAATTTGTTTGAATATTTTAAATTGAGTAAATTGAACTTTACAAATTTTTTGATTTTTTTTGTCATATTTAGGTATAAGATTTTTTTTTATAATAGGTATTTTTTTTATAGCAACTTTATACTTTATTATAGCAACTAAGTTATTAATTAGAAATACAAGACAGTATTTGTATCCTTGAATTTAACGCCAAAGATTTAGTTGTTAAGACAAAAGTATTATTTGATTATGTAATTAATTATTAATTAGTTATTACCGAAATATTACTTACTTAATTTATTCGAATAAAATGTTATATTCTATGAAAATTAATTCAGAAATTAAATTATTCATATGAGGTTTCTTGCTCCCATTTTTGTGCAGCTAAAAGGAGTCGTAAAATATTTTTCTATATCAAAAAATATTGGACATCTTAAAATATTAACTTTTTGTGGTATCTTATTGATCCTAATAAAATTATCTCTTGGTCTAAAGTTTAATTTCCACTTTTGATAGAACAATTATTTCATAGCAAATTATTATTATAAATACTTCATTGTTTACAGCATGAGAAGATGTAAAAATGATATCAAATTCATGTAATGTTTGTATTTGATAAATTAAATTGAATAAACGAATATTGTGTGTTTTATTATATTTTGAGAGCATTTTCTCACATTTTTTTTAAAGATAGGTCCGACAAATGAGTCCACCCCACCTGATGTTAAGTGAAGGTGAAGTCCAGACGTGAAGATAGCTGATACAGCAGTACTACCTGCCACACCAGCCATCGTCACCCTGCCGGCCTGCATGTTGCTTCTTCACGCCTCTTTTAAAGGATCCCAGGTTGTAAGAGGGAGGGAACACGTGAGCGGGCAGAGCATTCCATTTACGGATAGTGCGACAAAGAAATGAGTCACCAAATTTCTTTGTACGCGTTGGAATTGTGGCCACAGTTAGACATGCGCAAAAGTAACTAATATTTTCTATATGAAAAGATGCATGATTAATGAAAGCCGCATCTGATTTTGTTTATTGTAAGAAAATATATGAAATATATATATGAAAATATAATAAGTTACCAAAGCAGGATTGTGTTGTTTTTTTAAAACTTGTGGACTATTTCATTTTTATTTAAATTATTATTAGGTATTTTTCATTTTGCCTGACTTTAATGTAGCGATCAGTTTTTTATTACAATAAATAAAATTAAATACCTACCTAATTACACACTCTAGTGGCCGTCGACTAATGGATGTAATTTGACCTTTTAATGTTTCTAGGTATGTTATTGAAGATTTTCTGTTCTTCAGAAAAAAGGACATATCTACAGAATCATTGTCTTTTGTCAGAAATAGTGTGTTTTTCTCAGAATAATGACTTTAAGTTTAATTCAAGTGTTGTTAATTAAAATTTATTAAGTAATTTAATCTATAGATTTTATCAATTTTGAATTTTTAATACATTAAAGAAATGAACTATTAGGTTGCTTTCTGCCCTCCTCTATTTATCTGTAACTAGCGGCCCGTCCCGGCTTCACACGGGTGTATTAAATACTATAGAAACATAAATCAGCATCCAAAAACCCACATAAATAAATAAATACAGATTTTTAAAGTGACCGGACCGAGTTTCTTATGTAGGTAATTCTTTTCCGTTGACTTTTGGGAGCCTCGTAGATACGCCATGACATACAGACAGACTTTTTGACTATTTGACATATCACAACTGACTGAAAGAGGTTTTGATTTTACTTCACGGATATAAACTGACTGACAGAGATTTTTACTCTTTAACAGATCACAACAAACTGAAAGATTTTTGACTCTTTGACAGATCGCAACAGACTGACAGACTTTTTGACTTTTGACAGATCACAACAGACTCGACAGTCTTTTTGAGTTTTGACAGATCACAACAGACTGACAGACTTGTGCTTGTTCTTTTTTTTTAAATCATAAAAATATTGTAAGGTTTCTGAACTTAGAAGATCAAGAAGGCACTTTTTTTTTAATTATTGTTATGGGTGTCGATATGTATTTAGGTGTACGGTGACTATTAAATTATCTTATTACTAACATCGGCTACTGACCAAAATTTGACTTCTTTTCCTGCAAACTGTGACACTTCAACCCAAAAGAAGTGAACTAGCAGTACCTACTTTCGTGATAACACAAACAAGAGTAGGGCAGCGCGCCTCGTCGTAACATTTTCATTTTATTTATCATACATATAATATTATGTTCTATTGACATACGACCCTATATGCAACAGTCGAAGATAGCTTTGCGCAATTTTATACATTTATCTGATTTATTATGCTCAATAAATTGTCCCATTTTTAAATGGTTTTATTAACATGGTTTACATAACGAAATTACACATTAAGGCTTTAAGATAATTTCACTAGCAAATTAATACTAATTATTCAATTAAATTTTATTTTTGATTTATAGATTGTTACGTTTGTACTACATGGATTGGAGTCATCATAAAATATTCTATTTTTTTGTAACATAAAATGTAGCAGATTAATGCTTAAATTAAAAAAATATAATTAACACAGTAGTATCATAAATACAAAGTACGTGTTACAAGCGTCTATCCCGGTATGAAGGGCACGAGGTCCAGTGCAATGACTGGGCATAGAGGCGGTAGGAATGCGGCCTCAGGGGCGGCGACTCGCGAGTGATGCCACGCGTGTTACAAGCGTCTATCCCGGTGTGGAGGGAACGAGGTCTAATGCAATGACTCGACATAGAGGCGGTAGGCCTGCGGCCTCAGGGGCGGCGACACGCGAGTGATGCCACGCGTGTTACAAGCGTCTACCCCGGTGTGGAGGGCGCGAGGTCCAGTGCAATGACTCGACATAGAGGCGATAGGACTGCGGCCTCAGGGGCGGTGACACGCGAGTGATGCCACGTGTGTTACAAGCGTCCATCCCGGTGTAGAGGGAGCGAGGTCCAGTGCAATGACTCGACAGAGAGGTGGTAGAACTGCGGCCTCAGGGGCGGCGACACGCGAGTGATGCCACGCGTGTTACAAGCGTCTATCCCGGTGTGGAGGGCGCGAGGTCCAGTGCAA